AACACCCAGTGCCAGCCCAGAAGATGCCACCGTGGAACTACGGGGCACAGGCCGCACCCCGTAAGCCCGTGAGGGGGCAGCCCGCTGGGGCGCGCCCTGCGGCGGCGGCGGGGTACTATGGCGGCGGCGACGTGGGGCAGCAGCAGGGTGACATGCCCCGCTACCCGCCGCCGCAGTGGGCGCCAAGGCCCTCTAGGTGGTAACCGCAGTAGCAATAGCAATAGCAGCAGTAGCAGTAGCAGCAGCAGCAGCAGTGTCACAGCGGTAGCACCCGTCCTGAGACCTGTGTATCCACAGCTACCCGGAGCTAGAGCCGCTGCTGTTCCAGCAGTGAAGTGGTAGTGACAGCGACAGCTGGCGGCTACAGCCCCCGGATGGCTGGTTTCGTGGGTTTGGTGGGTGAATGTACATTTGGGGGTCTCAAAACAGACACGTCCCTGCTGTGCCGTGTGGTGATGCGGTTTGGCATGACATGACATGACATGACTTGGAGCAACGTGTCCTGTTTCACATCAACATGGCATATGGCATATGGACACTAGCTGAAGATTGGTGAAGTAGTGATATAAGCATGTATGGACATTCAACATGAAGACGGCCTAGCCGGGCACCGTGCCCGTGGTATGGATTGTGTGTGCGGTGTGCGTGACTCTGTTCCAAATGGTGTGCCGCAACAGAGATCTGGCCCTCAGCTTTCGCAAATGGAATGTGAGCCCCCTTTTTCACGAATTGCCGTACAAGGCTGTGGCTTGAACTGCAGCGTCCTCTGGCCGCTGATCCAGTTGTCGTACTGCCTTCAGAGGCGAGCGGGCTGCACCCCCGTGTGTGTGTATTGCTGGTGCCGTCGGCTACTGACTGACTGACGTGCTAACGAACAAACTGCCCACTCCGGTCCATTGCCAATACCTGCCACGGTCAGGCAGGGAAGTAATCATACGTAGCTACGTTTGGTCTGATGCGGTGTAGATCCGTGGTCCGATGAGCGACTTGTAGATAAAGGACTGCAACCTGGGCCAAGGAGGAGGGCGCTGACTCAAAGACCTGACCAGGCCAAACTGCTTTGACTGACGAACTGACTGACAGACTGACAGACTGACAGACTGACTTGGCCAAGTAACTGGGCATGCACAGTAGACCACGACAGAGTGGGCAGGTAGTGGGCTGTGGTGGAGAAGGAGGAAAGGAAATGGACGAGCCTCCCCGCCGGCAATCCGCCGCCTGACATGGCAGGGAATCGGGCGCGCTGCGAGGAGGACCGGTCGGGGGCGCAGCGGGGCCTGCGGTCCTGGATCGGCTGGTGGCAGGGCCGCGGAGGGCAGCCTAGCTGTGGGTGCGAAGGGCGGAAACGCACTGTGATGCTATACTTCGTAAGGTGTGTAAGAGCCACGTAACAGCGCTCGTAGGGTTTGTTCATGACGCGGGGTTGTCGCCGGTAATGCCTGGCAAGTTGAGGCCGTGGTGGCGGTGGCCGCAGGGTTAGGGGCGGGAGGCCGGTTCGAGCACGGTGGCGCTGCGCCATGCGGTGGTGTACAGGACAATTGGCGCGGAAGGGGGCACATGGACGCATGGCATGAACGGGGCAACGGGCCGGCAAGAGAATGGCTGCGGGCAATAAAGAGTATGGCAGCGCACTCCTTGGATAGGTATGCCGCTATCAGTTGCCCCATCTTCCGACTACAACGCAAGCAACATCCAGACTCGATACACCGGTGACCGCCAAGTGACCACTGCTGCACCCAGTAAATAAATAGCGTTTTGGTTGGCCGGTTGGCAATCCGTCCTTGGCGTTTGGATTGCATCCTGTTTATCTATTCATAGCGTGTGAGTTGCGAACGCAGTGATCGGCCTGTAGGGTTGCTGGTGGTTCCCAGCTAGGGGAGCTTGTGTAGTGGAGCCTGGTTGCGTCGGTGTACTCACCACTGCTTGCGCGTGTGCTGTGCTGCTTGCGCGCTCTCACTAGGCGAGGGTCGGCTAGGACAAGTGGCTTTTACCTCCTGTCAACTGTGGCACTTTGGACAGATGCTAATACAGATGTGTACATACTAACTGCACGTGCATGTTTCGTCGCTTGCGTCTTCCTTGCGGGGGAAGGAGTGTCCCCGGACATCTCCCCGGGCTGTCTGGCGGGTCCCGCGTCCCCATGGGGTGCGGCGCTGAACTCACCACACATGCAAGTGGCGGAACCCATATACCTGATGCGGTATAAGGGAGACTCATGAATGCGGCACAACGCTGGTTCACAGCGGCCTCGATGCCGCGAGCGGTTTCCAGCAGTTGTGGAGGTTGGCGGGGTCCATTGCCTTTTGCTTGTTTGTGACACACACTGCCAACCCGGGCGCGGTATGGGGTCTTCTGCTATAAAACAAGCAAGAACCTATAAAAGTGACGCAGAGTTGCAGCCTTTGCATCTCGCCTGGTCCCGCCCGGCCATTATCCGGCCAAGGTGCCGGCGGCCACCAACTCACCGGCAAGGCAAGGCAAGGCAACATGCATGCATGCAATTGGTCACATGCATGTACTGCTTCGTACTCAGCTTGCGTCACGGAGCCGGGTCACGGTACGGGGTACAACGGCCTCCGACGCATAACTGAAGCCAAAGCGCTCGTCCACCGTACACGACCAAAGTAGCTGGGCGCACGCCAGCAACGAGGGCAGCATGTAAAGTACGTTCCACTGTTTCCCTTCCCCTGCTGCCCGCCCCGCCGCCGACAACAAAAGGCCATGTACGGTATAAGTTACGGGTAGCTGGACAAATCTAAGAAATCCAAAGATCTAGGAAGACAGAGGAAAGGGAGGGTGGGTGGGGTCGTCAAAGAGCCGCGTCCGACTTTGCGCAATTTGTTGCGGATTTCTCCTTTCAGTGCAAGTTGTAGTGATGAACCTTTGGTGCGACTGGTGTGGACCGGTCCCAGTAGGCCTGCCGCCGCCAACAGCCCCGAGGTGAGGTGAGAGACTTGATGGAAAGTCAAGGATGTACCGATGCATTGAACGTGACGTTGCATGTACAGATTGCTACCGTGAGTTTGGACCGAGCCGGGGCGCCCGGCTCCACAACGCGTTCCCAAAGGCCGGCAGCGCTACCAAGTATCTCGGACCCCATCGTGGCAGCCTTCCTTCACTCGTTAGAGGGTCGGCCTGGAGTTCCCCAAATGCCCAGTCCGGCACTGTTATCTGCGTATGAGACCATATGCCAGCAATGGACCCTGACAGCTGGCATAAGATTCGGACGCAGTCGTATGAGCTGCATAGTTGGCTTGCACAGCATTGGTCTTGGGTGAACCTACTGAACTGTGATCCAGCGTCACTTTTGACATTCTTCGAGGAACATTGGATCACCGCCACCCAGGCCGGGTTCGTGTAGATCGCCGGCCTTGCCCTGCAACCTTGCAGGGAGCGATCTCCCACCTGTCAACAGCTTTTAACCTGCTAAATCGACGGGGTCCTTACGATGCAGCGGCATCAACCGGCAATCCGTGCGAGTGCTCAGCTATTCGTGGCTATGGTAAGGGTTATCGGCAAATCCTCACTCGGCAGGGTCACACTGAGCGGGGTGCCATACCTCTTCCCTACGCCAAATTGCTAGATCTAAGTTCGTATTTGCAGCGGAATGCTAGCAACACCGCAAGTCCGATTCCCCGGATAACTCTGCTACGGGACCGGAGTATCTTCTGCCTGCTGTGGAGCATGAGCATGTGCAGGCATGACTGCGGAGAGCTTCGGATGGACGATCTTCGGGACCCTGATCAAGTTCGGAGTCCATTCAGAGGTCTTCAGCTTCCCTTGCCCTGCGTGGACGGGCGAGTCCCTTCCACCTGTCGCCTGCAAATTGCGAAGCTAGGAATGAAGACGTATCGAGGAGTCCGATCGCCTGGGCATGTGGTGGAGAGAGGCACTGTTGTAGTGTAGTGCAGTGCTACTGGCCCGTGAAGTATGTCTCAGGCCGGCACTGCCCCGACCACGGTATAAGACCGCGCTCCGAACGTGAGTAGAATATGAATTCTAAAAGAACCCACGTCCGTTCTGTGAGCAAAGACGATTTCAGTAAATTTATGGATTTCGGTAAGGCTGTCGTATAGATTCTTGATGTTCAGTTCCGGTGAATTCTTACAAACGATTCTTGACAGCCAGGTCAGTTTTCAGAAGATTTCATGTTCATAATTGATTCGCATATTTCTTGATAAGCTCATCATTACTGTGTAGCTATCGCGCTACAACAGGCACTGATCCCGTCATCTGTCCGTTGGGCGCCCTTTCAGTGTATCTTTCGACCTGTTCGGTGTACCAACTTCCTGTTACCGACTACCTCTTCCGGCCCCTGGACAACGACGGGCGCCGATTCAAGGAAGCCCCACTTTCAACGGAGGCTTTGGGGTCCCCCCTTAAGCAACACTTAAGCGCTTGCGGCCAGTATGGAGGAGAGAGTGTGCATAGTTTCCGTCGTGGTTGCTTACAGCATGCTTTCAACCAGGGTGTGCCCCCCAGTGAATTGCTAGTGAAAGCCCAAATGAAGTCATTGGGCACCTTATGGCGGTACCTGGATCCAACCCGTCATATCCGGGAGCGCGGGATAGTAACGAGTGAAAGTGATAGCATGGAAGAATGAGTGCACCGTGGTGGGTGGGAAGGTTTGAACATGGAACTGTTCAATCCCAGCATGTCTTGGATGCAGTGGCAACTTTCCTTGAGGTTCTCCATACAAGGAATGGGAGGGTGTGGTGGCGAAATGAAGCAGCCGTTGAATTACAGATTGTGGGTGACACCTCGGAGAAGGCTTATGCAGCTCAACGGCGAGCTTGGAGATGCAGTCATGCGGGTTCCCTTCTCCAAGGACGAGATTCAGCTTCTGGCGGAGGGCCGCCTCAGCAGCACGGTGCGAGAACTACAGGCAGCCACGTTTGCATTGGAATGGCTGCAGGAGCAGGCACCAGAACTGATCCGTGGACGGTGAGTGCAGTACCAGACGGATAGTCAGCCCGCTCACTTCTGTATTCTGGGACAGAAGAGTGCAGGTCAATGCCTGGAGGAAGTGGCACAGCTATATAGAGTTAGTGCTCGTTCCGACACGGAATTTGAGACGGTGTGGTACCCCCAAACAGCAGCAGCTCAGCAGCAGGCGGATTGTATCAGCAAGGAGGACGACGTCGCCCAGTGGAGCTTGCATCCCGAGGTTTATCAACAGCTCCTACGCCGCCCCTCATTGCAGGGGCGCAACCCGGACATCGACTGCTTTGCGGATGCCACCAACACCAAGGTTCCTGGCCGTTTCTTTGCAGCACGGTGGAATCCGGGATGCCTTGGCGTTGATGCCTTGGTGTTGATGCCTTCACACAATCCTGGGCCTCCACGAGGAAGGACCTACCCTCGCTTCTCTATATGAATCCCCCTTTCTCCCAAACTGGCCGGGTGCTGGCCAAGGTTCTCACGGACAAGCCGGACTGCATCATTATATTGCCTGTTTGGCCTAGGTGGTGGGTAGCCCTGTTACGTCGCTTGCCGGTGCGTGAGATATGGCGCCTGCCGCATCGGAATGACCTGTTCCTGCCAGGGGCCTTGACTGTACGAAGGCAGCCCCATGCAACCCACTGCCAAGTGTGCGCATACATTGTTATCTGGTAGAGGAACATCTCAGACACTTCCCTTTCCCTCAACTCATCCAATACATGTGTGGGACCACCCGACTTGCTTTCACGCGGCTTTAGGCCGGGTGGTTGGGGGGGGAGAGAGAAGGGGTGAAGGGGTTGATGGGATAAAAGGGAGAGAGGAGGAGATGTGTGCTGGGCGCGGGTGGCTGGGGCGGTGAGGCAGGCAGCAGGGGAAGGGAAACAGTGGAACGTACTTTACATGCTGCCCTCGTTGCTGGCGTGCACCCAGCTACTTTGGTCGTGTATGGTGGACGAGCGCTTTAGCTTCAGTTATGCGTCGGAGGCCATTGTACCCCGTACCGTGACCCGGCTCCGTGACGCAAGCTGAGTACGAAGCAGTACATGCATGTGACCAATTGCATGCATGCATGTTGCCTTGCCTTGCCTTGCCGGTGAGTTGGTGGCCGCCGGCACCTTGGCCGGATAATGGCCGGGCGGGACCAGGCGAGATGCAAAGGCTGCAACTCTGCGTCACTTTTATAGGTTATTGCTTGTTTTATAGCAGAAGACCCCATACCGCGCCCGGGTTGGCAGTGTGTGTCACAAACAAGCAAAAGGCAATGGACCCCGCCAACCTCCACAACTGCTGGAAACCGCTCGCGGCATCGAGGCCGCTGCGAACCAGTGTTGTGCCGCATTCATGAGTCTCCCTTATACCGCATCAGGTATATGGGTTCCGCCACTTGCATGTGTGGTGAGTTCAGCGCCGCACCCCATGGGGATGCGGGACCCGCCAGACAGCCCGGGGAGATGTCCGGGGACACTCCTTCCCCCGCAAGGACGACGCAAGCGACGAAACATGCACGTGCAGTTAGTATGTACACATCTGTATTAGCATCTGTCCAAAGTGCCACAGTTGACAGGAGGTAAAAGCCACTTGTCCTAGCCGACCCTCGCCTAGTGAGAGCGCGCAAGCAGCACAGCACACGGGATAGTAACGAGTGATAGTGATAGCGCGGAAGAATGAGTGCACCGCGGTGGGTGGGAAGGTTTGAACACGGAACTGGGTGGGAAAGCGGTGCACTCAAGTTCTGACCGCCTCCCACTCTAACACTTGGCCTGGCTTCTGCCGAACGACACACTCCGACTGCCTAACCGGTACATATAATTTCTGTAATAGCACAACGCCTATCGCACTCCTCTCCTCACTCTAAACAAACAAACTCCACCTCTCCTTGGACCCGTACAACCTTAGCAACCGCCACTACCGTATCCAGTACTTCTGAAATTGGCAGAGTACTCGTACGAAAGGGATGAAAATTGGATGTGTTGTAGACTGTTCGACTGCAGTACTGTCCCTTGACACAAGTACGAGTAGCCGTTGACGTGATGTCACGGCTTTACGGGCGACCTTTGGGTCAGTTTTAGGACTACAATGCAGCGCACATCAATCCAGTCCCCGAGCGTCATCGTAATTTTGTACAGTCGAAAGCGACATATGCTCAGTCCTGCCCAAGCCACGATCTTCATGTTTTATGTCCCTGTGCATGTGCGATGCCATTTCACCAGTCCAACGGCTTTTACCGAGGAGTAGTCTTCGACTGTTGAATACTTCTCGTAGTGTGCGTGTGCGTCTGCGGAATAAATTTCTTTTTCAATCTTGTTGGATACTGTGATCCTCCAGGGGCTGGAATTGCGGAACTGGGAAAACCTGAAATGGAAAGGCCATGTGACTACCGCCCACCTAAGAACATTGGAGGTGCAAAAACATGAATACAGTTATGCGTGAATTTCGATTATCGCTCGTTCTTGGCATAAGGAAACGGCTTTTGTTTTTTATGTGCGTCGGACGACTAACCGACGAACGATACGATAGGCAAAGAGTGACGGCGAAAACCCAAGCATGGTCGCAAATTATCACAGAGCTGTGACCTTAGACATATTCCATTGCTACACCTGTAAGATGGAAGCTTTAGTGGAAGTGGCATGGGAGGTGGGCGGTGGAAGTTGCGAGAAATGCACAGCGTGCAGGCTGCATCAGTCTTGAGGATCATAGAAATGTAATTGTAAGCACGATGCAAGCTATAATTAATCGTGCTGGAGGGTGGGCTAGATTTCCGCTGTAGAGTACTCCCGTCCGTCTACAAAAGTTTGCCCGGGAGGACGCTCTACAGGGCCGAAATTTTGCATAAAAAACATGAATCGGAAAACTGTAAATTTTACCGAAATCATGCGACAGGTTTTGACCGGCCAGTCGAACCGCGTGGTCTTCGGTCTCGGTACCTTGCGCGGTTTCGTTTTAACTCGTTTGCGTGGCTACGGGAGCCTCTAAGGGCTGTGGCCAGGTAACGTGCGCTCGCGACATCTCTCGGCCCAAGCCCAAGCATCTCCGCACCTGGCCTCGAGCCGGCACAGGCCATCAGCCCTCGGTAACACCAAGTCTACCCCTTCCTAAAATCTCACCCGCCGTCCGATGAAATCTACAGCGACATTTCAAATATGGCGGACGGTAATCGCAGTGCAGCGCTAACGTATAACGTGTTGACAAGGGCGAAACCAGTGTTTCCATGATCATCATCACACAGCAGTCCCGGTATAACATTCAAAACCGTAGACCACCGGTGATGGTACCAGACACCTCAGTGTACGAACTGCCCACACCGAACACGACAACGGATGTGGGGATAAATATCCTGTGTGGGGCGTAGCTCGCAACGGGATCGGGAGGATGATGTTCGTTGTCTAAGAACGGCAGTATCAGACAATAACCCGTGCCCCATTCGGACACACGAACCAATGGGGCTGTACGGCGACGCGCCCATGGCATAGATAGCCACATTTGGAGGGCCCAAGTACGCTGTCCTTAGGGGCAAGCTACCAATATCCACTGGCTCCTTTTGGGGGAGAATTCACCGCGTCCTGCTTTTGCTGCTTTCCGCGCCAACTATGAGTGAGTCCATCCGCAGCTCAGTTCCCGGTTCCCGGGACAATTAATTGCGGGAGTGATGGGTATGGGCACTATGCACTCCGTTTTCATCAGGGGTATGCGGCTTCCAGCAACCTCTACTTGGTACGGGCTACACCGTCGTGTTTAGGAAAACCCTTGCCTGAGCTCCCCACGCCGTGCTGGTCTGCTCGGAACTAGCCAAAAGGGCAGTGTACCTGGCTATGGAGAAGGGGCGCGCTGTTCAAAGTGGGTTAGCCTCCAAAGGGTGCCTCGTGTAGCTGTCGGTTGAGGCATAACATCGACATCAGCCTTACTACCCCGTGGTAGTATGGTAGGTTGCGGCGATGTATGGGGCGAGCAATTCCCCCTTCCCCAAACCAGCAATAGTGGAGCAGGAGTAATGAGGTGGTGGGTCAAGGTGTGATAAGCTGGGTCCGTTGGGTCATGTCGAGCTGATCGCAGAGAAAAAAGGCCTACATTGCGCCTCGAACGGCATGGTTTGCTATATTAGTGCAACGGGGAGGGGAAATGCAGTGCTGAAGTTGGGAAACTTTACCGTGAGCTGCCCCTTTCAATTATGCCGTCCATTGCCCGGGTTCTGAAGTCCAGTCTTTCAGTTTCAAGTGGACGTGGGGCTAAGCACGGCTCGGAACGGGTCGCGTGGTGCGGGAATGCAGAAGCCTAGTGGCTAAATGAATGTGGATAGCTAAAAGGGTCCTCGTGCATTTCGTTTCCCGGCGCCGTCGGGTTTAAAATGCTGCCAACAGACTCCTTAGCCGAAGGCCTGCAGTTTGGCAAGAGTCCAAATGTAATTCGTTTACGGCATAAGTCTTTCCTTTTACCCTTTAGCTCCACTCATCCGCGCTCCCTTTTCTAGAGCCAGCGGCAAGATGGCCGACTGCCTGCAACCCTCAAAAAGCATTTCGAAAACTATCCACGTACTAAGTTCCTCATATTTTTAAGGCAGTGTGCGCAGAGGGGGCCGGGACCTGCATTCCACACCGGAAGTACAATAACGTATTCGTCCTGAGCTAATGCCCATTTATGTCCCAAAGTATTCAGCTTTATTGCATAGCTATTGGACGCGCGAGGTGTGTGCAGAACGACATAGACTACGAGCTCTCGACTGTAATACCATTGACATAAGGCCCTTGAACGGTGAGCAGTTTACCAAAGATAGTGTTTGGCCCCAATTAAGGAACAGTGGGCATAGGGTAGGCGCTCCTAATCACTGTAGAGCCCCCCTGTAGACACAGCGTTGTCAGTTTCGCTTTGTAACGCTTTTGCGGGGTTTGTTCTGTCAGGTCATCCAGTGTTAGCCCTACCGTAGCGGACCACCACTGGACACCCTGCCACGCTAAGGCGTGGATCTTGCGGCGTGTGATGGCCGCCGTGAAGGAGGAGGAGCAGGCTGTGCCTAGCGGAGGGTGCGCGTTGCTGATGATCGCTCGTTAGGTGATGAACTAGCGGTCACTGGCGCAGTTTCCGCAATGTCCACAGGTCGGCCGGTGCCAAGCTCTTTCTAGGCGGCCTGTCATGGGACACAACTGAAGGTGCGGAGCTTTGTTGTCGGAAAAGGTTCTCACAGTCGAACGCCATACGACCCGCGGCTGATTGTGCGGGTTGGGGTCTTGCAGAGAAGCTAAAGGAGTACTTCTTGAAGTATGGGGAGGTCCACGATGTGGTAGGTCATACGGCGAAGTTTATAAAGCGAGGCCCAGCCAGGTCTGGACGCTGATGGCTCGGGGGCAATTGCTCTGGCAGGTGGTGATGCGTGACCGCCAAACCCGTCGACCACGTGGATTTGGTTTTATTACATTTACGGATCCTGCGGCGGCACAAGCGGCGTGCGCGGAGTCCCATACGATAGACGGCAGACAGGTGAAGGCGCATTGGCGCAAATACAATCGTCTTTGCCGCACGTAACGCTTGATCGGCATGCGTGGCGCAGATTGATGCGAAGCCATCTGTGCCACATGGTGAAGGTGGTCAGCAGCCTCGGAGCAAGAAGATTTTTGTGGGCGGGCTGGCTCCCGACACCGAAGACGGTGCGCTTGTTGGTTGCTTGAACCTAGCTTTTTGCACCCGGTTTTTCAAGGATCAAAACATAATTCTTTTTTGCTGTTGCATCTTTGCAGTCCACCTTAAGCAGTATTTCGAGCAGTATGGCACAGTCGTTGAGGCGTTGGTCATGGTGGACCACAACAGCGGCCGGTCGCGCGGCTTTGGGTACGTGTGGGCCTTGTGAAGGGAGATCATATGTATCTTAATGTGTATGAGTCATGTGTACCCGAAATGGCTTTATATGGCCAGCTAGGGCATCTCCAATAGCATGTTTCATACCAGTGCGGCTGCGTAGTGGCAAGCTGCAGCACCTGGCTCTGCGTCCTTGCTTTCTGTTCATTGGCAATTTGTTGCTTGCTTGGAGGGTTAAGGTACGCCTCGCACTCACATGTACGGGCATAACCCGGGGGCCCCCTGGGTCTCATCTCCGTTCCTTTTGCCTTCCCCCAAGCACCGCCCCCAAAATCCCAATCGGGTCGCCTGCTGCCTTACGTTCCATTAAATGGTGTAGTGATGACATCTTCGTTGTGCTTGGTTTCTGGGCTTTTTCGTGTGCATCTTTAAACCTTCGGGCTTGGTGCGTTGGCCATTGTTATGGCACATGTTAACATTCATGCAGCTTCGTAACCTTCGGGGAGGAATCGTCTGTTGAGAAGGTGTTCGCTGCGGGTCAGATGCACGAGCTGGGCGGCAAGCAGGTCGAGGTCAAGAGCGCCACGCCCAAGGGTTCAGGCCCTCAAGCAGGTCGAGGGGGGGGCCGTGGCCCAGCGGCAACAGGTAGCTACGGTGGCCGCGGCTATGGAGGCGGCCGCGGCGGCTTTGGAGGGTATGGCGGAGGCTACGGGGCCTACGGTGCAGGTATGGCTTCAACGATGAAACTTTATGCCTAGGGCACGGGAGAGCTGTCGCTGTGGGAACACGCCTTAACCAGAAGACATGGATAGTGGAAACATCAAAGTTCAGCAGCAGGCGTCTTAATTCCCCGTGTCCATGAGAGCTGGATGCAGTGCTGGGATGAAACCTCAAGAGCAACAGGTCTCAAGTCCTAGGCCCCCTGCCTGAGATGTAGCAGGAGTTTTGAACCATTGCGGAGAGGCACTTGCCGCACGCTTTGTGGGGCAGTATCGCCATCGGTTAGCGTTTGGATCATGGGCTAAGTCGGTGATGCGTCCAGCGCGATCTTTTTACCACGTCATGGCACCATTGGGGTACATTGGACTATCGCCAGCTGTCGACCCTGCATGATGTAGTTGTCGGCAACAATCGCCGGTGATCGGCATCATGGTTTGCCGGCGTATTCTGCGGGCGCTCCTCTCCTTGTATCGCCCGACTTTTGCCGAGCCAGCTAGCTTTCCGTTCCGCATCCAATCTCAGTTGTCAATTCTTGTGCTCTCGCTTGCGACTCAGGGTTACTTGTCTGGGGTTCTGCACTTGACGGTGTGCAGCCGCAGGCTTCCATCAAGGGATCCGCAGGGGAGATAGTGTATTATGGCAGCTGGCAGCCGGCTGGGCCAGTAACTATAAGCAAAGTTCTTTCGTCGTAGATCATTTGACATCTGTTGTGTATGCGTCAAATGTCGCCACCTGCCCTTGCACAGGAGCCTACGGCGCTGGGTTCCCGGGATACGGAGCTCCGTACGGTGGCTATGGAGCAGGTGGGGCTTTGGGAATCAGCAGCAACCTCACCAATCTTTTGCAATCTTGCGTGCGCACATCTAGCCCTTGCTTGAACGACGAGAATGGCATCCAAATACGCCTTAGTAGCGTAGGATAACCTCCTGCCTTGCACCTTGCTTCGTCCAGAAATGCTCGTCCGCAATATCTGAACCTCTGATTCTGATTCAACCTTCAGGCTACGGAAATTTTGGGATGATGGGTTACGGCGCGGGGTATGGCGGCATGGTGGGCTACGGTGGCTACGGCGGCTACGGCGGTTACGGATATGGTCAACAAGCACCGTACAGCCAAGGGTGAGCGACAGTCCGAGGCACGCCGAGATGAGCTGAATCCCTAGCGATCTTCGGCCATGTCGCGTGCATCTAGCATATGCTTGAGCAACGGGAAAATCCGCGGAGGTTGACCCGTGATCTGGAAGGGCTGCCTGGTTCTAACGCTGCCCACAGGTGTTTGTGTACTCTGCAGCCCACAGCCTGAGCCATTGATCAGCACCCAGCAAGTCCGTATCCAGTTTAAGGTTGCGAATAGTGTCCGATAACGCGGTGCTTCATCGAGCCCGGGGAGCTGTAACACCATCCATTTGAGTTTCATGAGCTCAGGCCAAAATGCCCCCGATGTTTGCACAGCGTTCCCCGTCAGGCGCGTCTGAAAGTACGCTCCCCGTGACATGCCTCCTGTGCAACAGCGGCCGCGGCGGTGGTGGAGAGGGGCAATACTGAGGCAGCATGCATCTGGTATGAGGCAGAGGGAGGAATGGGTGTGGGGTGTGGAACCCGCTGCAGATCAGTTTGAAGAGCAGCGTGCGTGTGCTCCACACTGCGGTAGCCCCCTCGGCAGAAGTTTAAGCTGTGTGTGAAATCAAGAGGAAGCCGTTGGTTGCAAGGGCTGTGATGTGAGATCATCCAGCGAGTTTGTGTTGTGTGAAAGCCGAGGGCATGTCCTGCGTGCCTTCATGTACAGGGAAGTGGCGTGCGGGACATTTGGGGAGTGGATTGGTGCGACGCCATGGGAACCGGCGAGCTCTGGTCCGGCTGCGCTGACCCGCGGGGTATGACATGTTTTGGGCCTGGTCTGAGGTGGGGATTGGGGTTCTTGGGATTCAATGGAAGGGTCGTTGTTGCCCGCCCCGTGTCGGAGGTCTGGCGATTTCCTTACGCCCGCTGTTTCAGCCAATCATTCGCTTGGTGCCTGCCAGTCTAATCCTGATGGGCCAGGCCGGGCGAAATGCATCGGGGCGTGAGGGTGGCACATTCCCGTTGAGAGCTGGGGCCGTAAAGGTGACTACCCTGCTTCCTATGTATTTGGGAATCCGGGGGAGCTCTTCCAGAGCTTGAGTGGTCGTGGTTACGTCTTGACCGTGGTCTCATGATTGGGCGACTAGCCAAGGCCGCGGATGGGGGAAGGGACGTCCTGTTTACTTTTTAGCTGGTAACGTGTGGCTGATCTGTCATCAGTTCAATGCTTGTGTGCGTTGGGAGGGGTTGTCTGCGACAGTGTAGAGGCACCGACCTGGCCGCAAGAAAGATGCTGGGGGCCAACACGGCTGTTCAGAATGCGCTCTTAAAAGTTGGAGGGTCGGCCGGCTTTTCGATAGTTCAATTCTGATTCTAGTTTCACGGGAGTCGATGATCAGATGAAAAGCCCAATTGATTTACAAAGATTGCCGGTTGATCGTTCGGGTCACAGTTTATTGGCGCAGGTCGCCATGATCCGAGCAATGTCCACGTCCGTGTGCCCTAGTCGCGCATCCGCGCAATGCCCTTAATCCGAGAGCGAGACACTTGAGAGGTTGTGAGAGAGCGTGCAAGATGCACAGTTTACATGAACTATCGATTTACCTTCTACCCGCGTGTCATGCGGGTTCTGCTGTTGCGTGGAGATTTGGCAGGTTTGGCCGAGTCTGGCATGCATATGTTGTAAGAGGTGGAAGCATATACCATGTTTGTTATGAATGAATTCGATGCTGCAGCTTGGGAAAGGAGAAGATGTTGGTTTCTAGGTTGTTTCGTTATGTAAAGTTAAATATGCATCAGGAGTCACGATGGTGCACATATCATGGTGCACATATGTAGTGACAGATTAATATGCGCAGCACAATCGTTCATTTCTATCATCAATACATTTTATCAAAAATATGACACGTGCCTAACATTATTCCTAATTATCAATGCTCATACATATGCAACCCTTCTTCAGACGCTCTTAACTTAATCGGACTGCTACTTAATTTGCCACCATACTCCGTCAAATGACCATGTGCACGAAATTACACGAAACTATCCATCACCTGGCAGGGGAGAGTGTTGACCAAAACCCTCTTAATCGCCCGCAGTTCCCAGCACGAACGCATCAACGCAACACAACAAGCCATCGACACTGACACCTGCTGCAGCTCAGAAGAAACGCTACAAACCGCAGCGCATCCAGCAGCAGGATGCCGAGACTTTCATGTCTCCTATCCTACGGTCTCCCAACACATAAATTCAAAACTTACCAAAACCACTTCGCATTGCACAAAACGTTCCACTAACCTGCACTTCATGTTCGCTCGAGACATACTACGTATCCTTAGTCCCCGCCAGGACCACCTACACGCGCCTGAACGGCTCGAGGAACGGCCCTCGCCCTCACTCAAACACCACTCATCACTCCTCCCCCCTCCACCTGTGTCCCCTCAAGCCTGCAGTGGCGTAATCCTCAGCAGACGGTTCTCTTTGGGGTTCAACATGGTCTGCTGCAGCTTCCAGCCATTGCGCTCCGCCTGGGATATGAAGTCGGGATACAGCACCGAAACCACTGCCTGGGCCCGCTCCATGGTCACCCGCCAGCCCTCATGATGGGCAGCTCCTCGGCTGGCGGTATTTAGTGGGCCCCCGGCCCCGCCCCCACCCTGCCATCCCACCCCCTGGTCCTGTACCTGATGTCGCCCCTCCGATACCCGGGTTTCAGCGCACTGCCGTGACCGTGCACAGTCTTCCTTAGATGCGTCGGAACTACGACACCCACCGCCGCCACTGCTAGTGATGCTACTGCTGCTGTCGCTGCTGGCAACAGTTGCGCAACAGGAGGCGCCATTGCCGTTGAGGACGCTGCTCTTGGCGATCGCCCCCATGGTGGTGGTGGCAGCGGCGGTTAGTTGCAGAGGTGCATGGCTGAGGGCGGCCCCGTCCAGCAAGTGCAGGAATACGTGTCCGAAGAAGGACGCCTGAAGGCAATCCATACTGGTGGCGCCCTCGCGTAACAGCACATAGGCCTTCTTGGTGTCGGGTCTGGAGGGGTGGAAAACAATTGAAATACAGGGGAGGTTGGGAAGCGCACGCAATGAGGGAGAGCGCGACCTATGTGAACCATCGAATATAGGCTCTGATTTTGGTTGTGCTAAGGCCTAGGGCGGCGCAGGCTAGTCCGGGTTGGCAGAAAGGAATACTTTTGACATGACTAATGTGTCGTAATCGTAACGTGCCAAGTTGAGTTGGAAAGTCAATGCGCGCGACATTAGGATTGTGGGCGCATGCGAAGGCGGGCAAAGGCGGGCGAGCGATACCCCCAAGATTGCTATTCAATTTTGCGAACAGTCAAGACAATTAATTTACACAATCAATACTAATCAAAGTTTGCTTATAAAACCGAAGTTGGCCTGCCAGACTCTGGAAAACATGGCGAGCCTACGTAAAATGTTTTAAACGTTAGCGCGGAGTATCGAGCAGTCCTTTTGTGTCGTTAGATATATCATTTCAAACCCTATACGAAATAAGATATCACAGCATCGTTCCTTCTACGAAGCACGTAGACGCTGCTGAATTGCGCATCGCTGCCAGGGCACCAATAGTCTGGCAGTCCCACACATCTGTCCGGTCGGCAATCACTGTTGCCGGTCTCGTAGCTTCTTGTGTTGAAAGAACATTAATCCAATCGCCTCCGCAATAGGTTGGTTTTACTCCATCAGTGACCTCGTCGTCGCCTGCCTAACCCAGCCACAGCGTTTCTTTCCAAAGCTCGACATGACACCACCATCAAGGTAAGAAAACTAGAACCTAAAAATTGGATCACTTTATTGAAACAAATGATATTTGGGTTTTCCCCCCTTAAAATAACTTGCGCGCTAGCACAAGAATTTCCCATCTATACTCGCGTAAATCCGTCGCGGCGGTGTACGGTCTAAGCGGCCTTAACACGTTTAAGTTGGCACGCAAAAGATGCCACCGAAAAGGCGTGCAAGGATCCCGATCTTGGTCCGCTAAGAAGCCGAAGCGGCATTCTGTACAAAGTCACGTTGATTCATTCGCCTTTTAGTTAGTCTAATGGGACCAAACAGCGCTTATCACAGACCTCTAACAAGGATTTCCATGACGGCCCCCCGCGAGATGATGCCCTCGTCCGCGAGCTCACGTGTGCGCGGCCCCTGGGGCAATCATGACCCGAGCCCGCAACCCTAAAAGGACCCGCCGCGATACGTTCCAGTGCTTAATTAAGGAATAAATGCCTATTAATTGGAAAATTTGGTGTTGGTCTTCGGCCCTCTTTGGTGAAAAGGAGCGAATTCACGTCCGGCCACACAAACAAGAGTCGGCCACAAAGTCTGCGTCCTGCCAAAAAGCCGGAAGAGCTGAGACGCGACGGGTTGAGCTGGACAGTCCTTGAAACGCTCCTACCAGAAGTAAGCGATAGAGGTCTTTCAAGGACTATCCTTACGAGCAAATCCTGACAAGGCCGCGCACGGCGGAGGGCCGTGCGCTATACTAAAAGGTTCGCAACGCAAGAACCACCTGAGGTCTATGACCCGGCTTCGCATGAAAAGCTGGTCATTTATGGGATTTATGGGGAATTCTATTTTGGGGACTTGAGCAAACACCCCGCAACTCACAGCTAAGGAATACCGTACTGCCACAATACGTTGGTCTTCAGTTTTTCCCAAACGCCTGTGAAAAGGTACCTGGAAATCCTATTTGGTGCCATGCAATTTTGGTAAGGATTAAGATAAGGTATTGCAGTTGTGATACAGATTTCGTGGCGCTCCAGGGAACCTCCGCCCGTGTCTCTGCGCGCAACGACCCGCCGTTTGTTCAGCACTGTTACCGAGCGAGCAAAGCAACGACGCGCGACCGTAAAAGAACATCATAGAATTTCTTAAAGAGCTGTAGCTACAACTATATAACCGTGTGCATGTTGGTGTGCACCCACGTAATTTGGTGTCAAGCAAATTTCCAGGCATGCCTTAGGGCTTTTTTCCACTGGCGCAGCTTTGGTGACCTCCCACCACTTGGGTCGCGCCAATACATCGTGGCGGTACGGTAGTTTATCAGCAGCCTGACATGAAACTCATTCCTCGGTTTGGAGTAAAACTCTGATCCCCCTAAGAACCCCTTACCCCTTAAAAACGCGGAGGGCGCTGCGGCCGAGCTGTTGCACAAAATTACAAACCGCACTACGCCGGGTCCCAATCCATTTGGCCCCGGGGAATTTCATTTCCCGTCCTAACCCAGATCCCAGATCAAGACAAACTATGTCCCCCAAAGCCTCCTCCCTCCCCCTCTCCTCTCCCTTCCTCTCCCTCCCTTCTCTCCTCCCCTTCTGTCCCCTCCCCTCTCCTCGAAGCGCCGAAACCGCCGGACCTTCCCTGCCCCTAGCAATCCGTCAGGAGCCAGGAGCCGGGAACAAACCCTCCTGAGGGGCCCCACATCGCACACAAGGGAGATACCTCCTGCTCACCCGTCCACGCCCGCTCACCCGCCCCCTTACCCGCCCCCTTACCTATACGTGACGAGGTAGCGGTACTCCGGCTCGGGGAAGCGCTGGACTGCGTGGGCCAGTTCCGAGGGCCCTGCACAAGCGGACTCCACTGACGCCCCCAGGACCAGGCGGTTCTGGTTGTGACGGCCCCACGGCAGCAGCGGCTCGTTGTGGTTGGCCTCCGCCACGCCGGGGATGAAGCCGTCAGACAGGTAGCGCTGCGTCGCGTACGCCAGGCGAGCGCGGTTCATGTACGGCAGCTCAACGCTGTCTACTTCCTTTCGGGAGGACAGCAAATACCCTGGCGAGGGAAGGAGCGCGGGGGAATGAGGGGGTTTTAGGTGCGGTATGTGTGTGTGTGTGCGCGCGCGCCTGCCAACACCGCTGCTGCACACCTCAACTGCTTTATAGCTTTTAACACCTATATCCCCACCACAACCACTACACATATACACACATGCGCACACAGCGCGACCGTCCCCGCCCCTCCCCTCCCTTTCCCCCCCCACCTCACACCCCGGCACCCTCCCCCCCTTTCCTTCAACCCACCTAAGCCACCACACCCTCCCCGCCCTTCAGCCCCTCATCCATCCTACCCCACCTGCCGACAGCACGCAGAACGTGGGCATACGCGGCAGCTTCATCCTGGACAGCGCAATACCCGCCACCGTGCCGAGGATGTCAGCCAGGTTGGCCACAGACTCCCCCTTAGCGGTGATGTCGGCCAGGTTGTTCTGCAGCGCGAAGGTGCGGTAGATGGGTGCACGGGTGGAGGAGGCTGCCACGGCAGCCAGGTTCTTGGACAGATTTGCCGTACAGGCCAGGGGCAGGAAGGCGGGGGGGGCGTATACGGTGGCGAGCTCCAACGCCGCACCCGCCTCCATCAGCAGGTCGCCTGATTGGATGGGGGGAAGGGGAGGGGAAGGGGAAGGGGACGGCGGTCAACAGGGTAGGGGTGGGGGGAAACGTACCAGGTGGTGCTGCTGCTCCTGCTGGGTGTGGGGCTAGGGGGTAAAGGGAAGGGGGCGAGTGGGGGTGGGAGGGCACTGGTCGCCAGGGCGGGTGGGTAAGTGTGTGGGTAAGACACGCCGCCCAAGAAGTCGCCGGACAGGTAGGGGACGTTTCTTGGCGGCAGAAGGACTGCCCCGCCGCCACCTTGGTTCCGGGGCAACCATCACACTACTCTATCAGAGTTGAGCGTATTCTCAGGCGTGCAGGTCCACCATACCCGCCCTTGGCCATGGCTGGCAAGTCAAAACCCAAACCCAGCTGGGGCCGCATCCTGACGGGGGTAAACGCCCCCAAGAGCCACTTGCTAGCCTAGGCCCCTGACCCCCGCTGGTAGGCGGGCCCCCGGGCCCCGGCGGTGGGAACCAGTGCATGGTGCAGGCCGAAGCTGGGCGACCATCCGGCGGCCCAGGCTATAGTCCATTGACCCCGCCTAGCGGCCCCCTGCGTTAGGGCCCCCTGCGCACACACACACACCTCGGAGCTCAGACAGGGGCTGGATAGCGCCGTGCCCTCTCCCTCTGCCCCCCGACGGGAGGACGGGCGGAGAATGCGCAAGGCCGGTACGGAGCCCGCACAGCTATGGGTCCGCACCTGGCCCTCAGCGCTCCTCAGCACCTCCCCGCCCCTCCCCACCTCCCGCCCCAGCTTCCCCATCAACAACAACCGCGATTAGGCCCTGAGGGCAGTGAGAACCTCCCGCAGCGCCCCGCGGCCGTCCCGCCTCAGCGCACGACCGCAAGGCAGCAACCTCTCCCCCGTGAATCCCCCCGTCCCTCCTCAAACCCGCCCCCCACACCCCAGCCCCTCCCCCAGGGGTGAAGCAACCCACTCTCCCCTCCACGCGCCCTTCTCTCCAGCTCCCAGCTGGCTGCGGCTGCCAGATGCCCCCTCCCAAGCCCAGCACTCCCTATCGCCCTACCCAGGATAGATTGCACCCTCCTCCTCCTCCTCCTCCTCCCCCTTACACACACATGACCACCACCACCTCCTCACTAGCAACCCAGTCCCCATGGCAATGAGCCTCCAGCCCTTTCGTAACCCACTACCCCACGTGGAGCTCAGAGGGGCAGCTCTGATGGCCTTCCCCGGCACATACACACACACCCCTACCCCGCTTTGGCTCGGCCCCTTCTCTTCCCCCCACCCCATTCCCCTCCCTCCCTACGGCTCAGCAAGTTAGCTAACATGGCACACACACATACATACACACATACATACACACACAGATGTATGTATGTATGTATGTAAACCCACCCGCCAGCCTGAACTGCTTTAGTTCGCAGTCCAGCTCGCGGCCCCAGCGGGCGAAGAGCAGTCGGCCCAGGCGACCCGCACCGTCCTTGATCACCCAGTTGATGGCCGCAGCCGCCTCGCCCTGGAAGCGGCCCGCGACGCCGAGCGCCCCAAGCAGGGATTGCGTCGTAAACACGCTGATGGCGCCACCGAAGAAGTACTGCACGCCGCGCCAGGCCATGTACGGTGCGTACTGGGGACCTACGCTGTCCGGAAAGCCGTTTGGCAGCAAGTAGGCGTGGATGAGGGCGCGGAAGTGGTCCTCGTGTGTTTGGCGCTCGTCCACGATGTCGAAACCCTCCCGGGAGCCGGCGTGCTGGGATGCGGGGAAAGAGGACGAGGTGGAGGGGTTGAAGTCGCCGCGAGCTAGGTAGACGCGACGGCGGCGGCCCGAGCATGACTCTACTGCAATGCTGCCCAGGTCGTCGACTTGGCCTTGCTCGGCCAGCACGTGTCGATTGGAGGTGCCCCTGTGTGGCGTTAGGCCCAGTTTCTTCCACGGCGGAAACCTAGGTCGGTGGTCTACGGGTTGTCCGTCGCTTTCGTGCGGGGATTGCAGTGGCGTCATGTGACAGGAGTTGGGAGGCAGCTGGCGTTTCGGTGCTTCAACCGGAATGCGCTCCACATTGTGTCCACCCAAGGCGTCGGTGAACGCAATACTGATTGGCGCGCTGATGACCGCTAACGGCGGAGAGGAGGTCCCTGAAGGCTGCCAGCCAAAAGACAGGCTGGGCTGGTAACCAGTTTCTTTGTCGGGGGCGCCGCCCGGCAACGGCAACGACACAGATGCGAAGGTCATGATTTAAACTACCATGTTTAATCAAAGGTTTGGCTTATGGAATCATGTGCCCTTTGGAATTGCATCCTCAGTTTGTGTAAACGCTTGCAATTGGCCGCCAACCAGCAGGCCTTGAATTGGGTCAGATGGGACGGAATGCATCATTCAATGTTTCATTAGTGCATTTCGCTGTATGCCCGCAATTGGTCAACGCTCGACGGTCCCGAACGGCTGTACCGTATCGTCACAGGTACGGAAGCAGAATGACTTGCTTGGGTGCTTTGTGCGTTCGATCGCCCACAAATGCAACGTTATTGCAACATCTTAACATGGCATCCGAGTCCAATTATGAGGTTCGCAAACTACAAGCCTCCGATTTCGATAAAGGTACATACGCACAGCGCAATTGCTTTGGTAAAACTTGGCCCCGGAAGCAGAGCTTGTCGATCTTTCTTCAGGGTTCTTGGAGCTCCTTGCACACTTAACGACTGTTGGTGAGGTTACCCGGGAAGCCTTTGAAGGTACGTGTCTTCCGACAGGTGTGCCTGTGGGTTCCATCCCTGCATCAATAGATTTCATGTCTGCAAGATCTAGCTTCCATGCCAGGAAATATTGCACGCGCACGTGTGTAAACAACATTCCTGCCTGTGTGGTAAAAACTCCATTAAAATCCCGGGCACCACTCCCATCTCCCAAAGCTCTGTACCGAATCCTCGGCGCCAAGCTCTGCAACCTCCCGCAGAACAAGTCACACAACGAAACTCCGCGGGGAACTACTATACACTTGTGATTGAAGGTAAGCGGTGCAGCGGCATATGCCGCCCTACAATTAACCACTTTGAAGCACTGAAGCACTGACGAGGCAAGGACCAGCCTTCCAGCATAGGGCCTGCCTGAACAAGTTTTAAAACCCCCCGAAAAAGACTCGCCCACCCGTTCCCCCGACTTCACCCGACCCCCCGCTCAGCCGCGGGCAGGGTTCCATGGGTGCCATAAGCAGACAGCCGCTGTTGATGTGCCGCGTGCCGTCAGAGTCACACACCCATACGCCCATATGCCCTTGGAGTGTCGAGGGGGGGGACACACGCTATCTGGCCACATCATGGCGGCAGCTGTGAACGCCCGAATATACTACTGCACTGTGCCCCGTGCCGTACGCCGTACGCCGTACAAACCCCGGCTTCCACACGTTGTATTGCTTTTCCATGGCACGGGAGCAGCGGTCCAGTGCTCTTGCACGGGAGTCCAGTTGGATCCAACTTGAATCAGCACAAAGCCCACTAATCAACCAAAAGTGCGACTGTAAAAGCTGTGGCAGCGCTCAGAGCAGTGGTTCAAGGTGGACCCCAGTGCAGGTCCCGGCTCCCCTGAGAGCGGCTCCCTCAGGCCCACCCACCCCCCTGGCCCCGCCCCGCACGGCCCGGTCCTGCACCCCTCCACTCCACCACTGCCAGATGGAGGGCGCGTTATCGCAACTGCGGCCATGATTGTGGAGATCAAGTTCATTCACAACTGCGGCAAGGTGCGTATGTATGTGTGTAAATGCATGTGTGCAAGTTTATGTGTGTGTGTGGATGGGGATTGGAGAGAGGCGATAACGGAGGGGATCATTTATAAGAAGTGAAGCCCTAAACCCTGACACTGAGGTTAATGGGAGGGTGGAGGCTGGGGAAGTGAAGTGGAGAGGGAGGGGACCCCGCATGGGAACCTGTCAGGGCGCACGACAGGGGACGACATCACCGGTGCCGGCTTGCTTGGAAAGCCCCGGGCCGCTGCCTGAATATCCCACCCGGTAACATGTGCTGCTGCTGGTAGTTGGTAGTTGGTACTGCTGGTAGTTGGTAGTTGGTACTGCTGCACCCACCCAGACTCCCCCGTCCCCGCCTGGCCCCCTGTCCTCTCAACCGGCAAGGCGTCGTGTGGGGCGCAGTGCATTGCAGATTGCACCCGCCAGACCGTCCCTTCAATGTGCAACAGTGTGTACACACTCCTCCTCCTCCTTTCCTCTCCCGCCTCCCCCTCCTCGTGGTGTGGTTTGACCGGGCAGGTGGGCCACATCGAGGATGTGGTGGTGGACCCCGCGTATCGCGGAAAGAAGCTCGGGCTCAAGTGGGTCATCACAACATCTGGGGGAGGGGAGGGGGAAGGGGTGGGGGAGGATCATATGCTGAGAGGATACCAGAAGTGAACTGCCGGAATGCGTCCAGAGTCCGGTACTGGCCCCGTGGGTCCCCGTGAGCAGTGATGAAGTCATCGGCCCGTGTTTCTGGAAGTAAAGCCCATTACGTTTCCGACATTTATTTTTGGTGTAGGGGAAATGTGAGGGGATCTGGGCCGCGCTGCGGGCGGGGAAGATGGAGGAGGTCGAAAAGACCTCTTACAGGCGAATAGATGCTCCGCACGTGTGTTGAGGCCCCAAGGTGGTGACCATTCAGCGGCCCAGGAGAATCTCTTTCCGGTGGATCTGGATCTGGATCTGGATTTAGAGGTGGTGTTGATGGAAATGACGATCTTCACGATGTTGTTGTTGTTGGTGGTGGTGGAGGTGTCTGTTGTGAGAGCAGCACTGGCTGTTTAGAGAGGTACAGCTGGAGGTGCACCTGGGGAGCTGGCTGCCGACCTGGAGCGGGGGATCCTGGCGCGTGCGTGCGCGCGTGGAGGACGTGGCGGGACCGGGGTTGCTCCGGGGGGTGATGTAACTCCCAGCCGCCAAGTGAAAAATGGAAAGACAATTGACCCCAGGTGGGCTTTAAACACCACGAACACTCTTCGTTGCGTACCTGCTTACATGCCCATGTAGGGGTGCCGCCTCCCGCCAATCTTTCTGCCTTTCCTGTCCGCCTTCCCTCCCCTCCTTCCCCCTTGCAGCTCATTTGCCTCGTCTTGCTCTCCCCCTTGGGATGATGGAGTGTTTCCCCCCTCCCCCCTCCCCCTCCCCCCGCTGGCCCACTCGGCCTAGTGCAGGCTGATCAGTGCACTGGTGGACACGGCTCGTGAGGCGGGGTGTTACAAGACCATTCTGGACTGCAGCGAGGACAACGCGCCCTTCTACGAGAAGTGCGGTCTGACGCGGAAGGGGGTACAGATGGTGGGTGCAAGGGGACAGGAAGGGGAGGAAGTGGTGGAGGAAGTGGCTGACAAAGGGGCGGGATGAGGGGGGCCCATTAGGGGGGCGGACAAACGCGCACGGCATGCGGGAGGGAGGGCGTGGGGGAGGGCGTGCGGGAGGGCGTGCGGGAGGGCGTGCGGGAGGCGGGGTGAACACACATGATGCCTGTCTTTGGTGTCCGCTCAGGGGGAAGGAGAGATCTCAGGCTGATAGCGGCTAATCCTTTTGAGCGACCTCTAGTTGCGTGTTTTCTTTCAGCTAAAGGGTTGAACCCTTTCCTGCGAGCTGCTTAGGCCCTAAGACATCAGCTGGAACAGGTGAGCCGGGTGCGGTGCAGCCGCCTGTCCGTCGGCCCCCCGCTGACCTAGGGCGCCGAAACCTCCTTCGCCATCATCATCGCCATCAGTGCCCTCATCATGCTGCTTGCTCCCTGATGTGATGGCCGCAGGCCAAATACCTGGACCAGTGACCAGCGATCGATGACCCCGCAGGCAGCACTGCGCGTATAGACCCTTTTAGATCTATGGTATGCAAAAGTTACAAGTTCCGCACAAGCACTTGTGCGGGGGTGTCCGTAAAAGCCATGGGGGAGGGGCCGTGGACGGTAAAGTGTTTTTAGTGCGGTTACGCGGTGGACCATCGTCGTCCTCCCTCGTCCGTCCACCGTCCCGGTATGTAGAGCACTGCAGAGCGGCGGCGGAGGGAGCCAGGGAGTCGGGCCGTCGGAATGTCAGAACGGAGGCAGTCATCCCCGACAGGGCTGCGGTACAGAGCACTGCCCCTGTCAGCCCAGACGTATGTGAGCACCCGGGGGTCCCCAGCTGCTCCAGGCGACATGGGGTGTCAGGACACAGCGTCCCGGATGCGGTCATGTGGGAACTGCCATGGGAGTGGAAGTGGAAGAGGGGGGAGTTGTGGGGCGGGTGCGGGGGCGGACGGTTGGTGGTTGCATCCGCGGGCTTTGCTGCTGCATATCCGGATTGGACTGGACCGAAGCTAGCTAACGCTCGGGGGTTTTGGGGTGGGACGGCTTGCTATTAAGGTTGCGGACAGGATGGGCGAGGGAGCTGCTTGCCTGCTACTGCCACTGCTGCTACTGCTTCCCAGGTCCATAGTATGGAGTTCAGAGCACTTAGGTGGCATTGCATGAAGGGCTGCATGGTACTCCACTATGGAGCTGGGTATTATGCGGTGATCTTGTATTCAGAGACTTATCAGAAGTAAAGAGGAGTAGCGTAGTTGATTGCTTGGCTGATGTGTGCCGGTTCTGCCAGCGAAAAAACAGCTGTTTCCCGGCAGAGTGACTGTAACGGCAGGGAGCCCCAAGGAGTGGATGCTCTTAGGAGGAACGATATGTGTCCAGGTCGCTACGGGGACCCGGCAAACCCGGCATGTGCACAAGACCGTGGGAACGGAGAAGGGTGCCATGGCTAAAGTTATATCCGTGGGCTTCAGCCCCGGAGAGGCTAAGGCTTGATGGGCGAGGTTTTTTCGTTCCTTGAAACGGGTTGAAACAGGCGCCCAGCTTGCCACACGCGCGCCCGTATTCATGGGATGTGCCATTTATTGGACATACTGTTAACGGGGTCTGGGTTTTAAAGGCCATTACCGCGGGGCTTGATCTGGCCATGACAACGTTAGAACCGGACGGTTTCTTTCTGAAGACCCATGGACCGTCAACTGGCGTAGAACCTCAAGTCAATGGCTTTCGAATGGCATGACAAAGAATATAGGTATTAAGTCGTGAGTAATATGAAAGGTCTGGAGCAGGGCAGCGTGTAAGCCAGGATGCTAAGCGCCTTGTCTTGTCTGAGGAGCAGCTCAGAAGCAGGATGAAAGCAGCTGGAAGTTAAACTATTAATATACAGCAATGAAATGTACCGGGGGGTCATGCAACACCAAAGATGGGCCCTTGGGGTTCAGAATACAGAAACTCGTCGTCGGCGCCAACACTCTTGAGATGAGAGCTCAACGTTTTTTCCAAATTACTATCTATTTGCAATTGCGTTCTTATAAAGCTGTGCAGGTTACGAGTGGTCTACAGCTGCAGGCTTCCGTACGGCAAACTTGTTTTGTGTTTGAGAGTAGCAATGAACTGCGTTGTATAGCAATTTCACACAGTGAGACGAAGCGTGCTAACGAGCTGCTGCTTCAGGCCTAACACGTGAAAGAGAGGAAGTCCTCAGTCTAGGTCGCCGAAGGGAAGGAGCAGACCTGTAGGCCCGCAGGGCCAGCGCGGCGCCCATCTTGGACGCCTGCTGTAGCCAAGATGAATCCTGAGTAGTAGGTCCAGCTGGGACTTTGTTGATCCTTTTGACAAGAATTTCTAACACGATCCCTCCCTCCGACCCTTCTCAACGCTCAACCACAGCGATTACCTGTTCAAGGTGAAATGGCACTTTAGCAATGTACCTTTCTCCTCTTCCATAGCTAGCTGTCTTACAGGCTATTCATTATCTGCGCGCAGCTTCTGCTCATCGGCGACTCCGGCGTGGGCAAGTCCTGCCTGCTTCTGCGGTTCGCGGTAAGCCTTTCATTGCAATTAGACTGCGCATAACGTATCTCGAGCTTATTTGGCGTTGAGAACTTCTCTTCTTCACAGGATGACACCTACACCGAGAGCTATATCAGTACCATCGGTGTGGACTTTGTAAGTTCCGAACGCAGTGTAGCTTGCTAGTCACCGCCTCCCAGGCGTTGATTCTTTGCTTGGGTTTGCAGAAAATCCGCACTGTGGAGCTGGATGGAAAAGTGATCAAGCTGCAAATTGTGAGTAACGTGGCGCGAAGCTGTCCGATTCTATCCTTCTTTTGTACAATGGGTTGTGTGAGGCCTACCTCGTTGCACTGACCTATGTGCGCAGTGGGATACGGCTGGGCAGGAGCGCTTCCGGACTATTACCAGCAGCTACTACCGTGGCGCGCATGGCATCATCGTGAGTGGGGGCTCTCGACAACCCTTCTGCTACAGTGTCGTTTGGGTATGGCGATGCACATACCAAGGGTGGGGCTACTTTTGTAGGTTGTGTACGACGTAACTGACCAGGAGAGCTTCAACAACGTGAAGCAGTGGCTGGCAGAGATTGATAGGTACGCGAGCGAGAATGTCAACAAGTTGCTCGTGGGCAACAAGAGCGACCTCACAGGAAAAAAGGTCGTCGACTACCAGGCAGCCAAGGTAAGGGTGACCTAAGTCATGCTCTGCGCCACGCCGCGTTACCCTCTTTCTATGAAGAATGGTATGCGTGTGGTGTGTTTTTGCTGTTGGCAGGCCTTTGCCGACGAGATCGGCATCCCGTTCCTCGAAACTTCCGCCAAGAACGCAACGAACGTAGAGCAGGCTTTCATGACAATGGCGGCGGAGATCAAGAACAGGTGGGGTACAGCTGTTGCGGGGTGGCAGGCTGTAACATCTCGAACAAAACGGTAGAAAGTTTATGTTTGGGGTGTTCATTGTTTTGCATAACTCATGTGATTGAACTTCCTGTGTTCGTTGTGGCATTTGCATATTGTAGCAACACCACATATGCGGCAATGGAAGCGAATTTGAAGGTGATGGCACATCGAGTTTTGGGGAACTCGTGTCGTCATAGCTATGGGATATTACACATGGTTCTCTGTATTGAAGTACAGTTCAGGACATCTGGTGCACACATACATACACTCTCGGCTGCTATTGCGACTGCTGCAACCCTTTGCCTCGACGTCACAGGATGGCCAGCCAGCCCGTTCCACCCAAGCCCGGCGGCCCCGTCGTTCGGCCCACGGAGGGCAAGCCAATTAACAATAAGTCGTCCTCTTGCTGCTGAGGATCGGTTTGGGGCTTTGCCGTGAGGCGGTGAGCGGAGAAGTGTGTGATGGGAGTGGTGTCTGGACCTAGGGATCTGGGCGGGGGCGGTAAGGGGTGACTCGGTAAGCGAAGATGGTTGACTGGACATAATCTGACAGCACATTAGATGCAGAAAGACGTTATGAGGTTTACGTTAGCGGGAACAGGCAGATTTAAACCTGCATGCATGGTAAGACTCTGTAACTCCGCTGTGACTCGTCGGCGGTCCGCCAAGTACATTTGGAAGGGTTGGTTGCCCTGTGTATACTATCGCGGCGCTGGCGTTCGTTTACCGTAGCTTTGGAGTCGACGGCCAGATCCCCAATGAGTACGAGGCTTTCTCGTGAGGGCGGAATATTCTTCTGTTGTGGCGCGTAGTATGTCGCCCCTATTGGTTAGCGTTGGTTTCGGAGTGTAGTTCCTGTCCTCCGTGTCAGGCCTAATTACCTCTTGTCCCGGTCTGTTAAAAGGTGAAAAGGTTTTTACATCCCACCCATACGTAGTAGGAATGCAAATAGACCGCCCGGCCTTGGGACAAGCCGTCGATATTAACTGTCAAAACATGCCACAGAAAAGCTAGATGCTTACGTGCAGCTCCAGAAACCAGATTTGCACGCCGCCTGCCCAGCACGGAATTCAGCCCGATGCGCCAGTATCTTCAGGTAGCAAGGCTAGTGCCTCGCCGTCGACAATGACCTGACAAATGTCCTGCAGTTCTGCAACAGTCCTGAATGTAACTCGGCGCCCGCTAAGCCTCTGAACGGTAACCGTTGCCTTCACTGATTGCCCTACCTGCGGGGAAACGATGTTTAAAGATGCAGGTAAACCTAGCAACTTGCTTCCTGGCTTTCCACATCTCACCAGAACTGGCGCTCGGAACCGCAACGTTTGTGTGGCATACAGTGTACCTGGGAATCTGCTGCCGATGATTGCGGGAAATAATGAGGCAACGAGTATTCCGGGTATCACTGGCGCACCGAAACCTGCACGGACCCATCCGCCCATATCTTCTTTTTTTGGACTAAGTGGCACAAACACACCTCCTGGTTACCTGCTTTTTTCGCATTAACTAAGTCAGTATGGATCGGGTTAGAGTCGCCCGTCAGCTGAACGAAGCTTTGTACCGCGGCTGCATCGAAAGTCCTAACCTCCGATGCACTCAGCCTGTAAAGGAAATTAAGCACTTCAAAATAATTTAAAACCGATCAAAGGGCCGCCGTCTGAGACACACCCGACGTGCAATGTTCTTGCCCCATATGGTATTTTGCAATGTCGTGAGATAGTATTTAGGATCATCCTGTTATTGACATGTGCACGCGACGTGCGTGTAGTAATCTTAAGATTTGGATGCATGGTATCAATAACCAAGTCGGTCACTAGCCGTACAGGCACTAGCGGCACTTAAGTGCCTTACAGGGTGTTTCCACTTGGCCGAACACTAACAATAAGTTTGAATGTTTTTCGTCCTGGACTCGTCTCTCGCCGTTCTAAATGCATATATTGATACTACTAATGATAGTAGAAAATATTCATCAAACAAATTGGAGGTTGGGGCACTCCTGGCGGAGAACCGTAAGGCCTAGTGGAAACACCCCGTACACTAAGTCCACACTAGCGCACACTAAAGTTAATTGGACCTCAGACCTGCCATTAACTTTAGTACCTAGCACTAACTATTTGGCGGGCAACTTTTATGAGCTGGATTGTCCCTTCTGACCACAGACTTTAGACGTAAGCAGCTATCTTTTTTCCTTCCTGCAAACGCCGCGTTGACTTGCGCACGCCCAACACCGACAGCCTCAGAACACCGCCATTTTGCAATGGAGCCCTCCTTCAATAACGTTCAGCAAACATATACCGCTAGTTTGCCTTCCTTCGCTGGCCGGACGTTGCCAATGCACCATGCGGACTTCATGGCGGACATCATGACGCAGGCTGCGCCGCAGCGGATCCTACTACGCGAATTCTTACAGACCTTGACAATTATCAGCAATTAATCCCTGGCGCTAAAACGTTCAAAATACGAAAACAATTTTGGTTTCGGCGCTCCTTAGTGCCGCTAGTGGAAACACCGTCCACACTAAGTCCACACTAGCACATAGTGTACCGAAGATAGTGTTCGGACAAGTGGAAACACCCTGTTACTTCCCGTACCGGTTACAAGCAAGTGACTACATGCGGCCTTTGTGACACTGGAGTGGCCTTTGTGACAGCTCGCGATAAAGCGAAACCATAGCCTGGCTCCTCGCTCCTACCACTGACCACTCCTGCGTATATGTGCGCTGCTCCTGCACCATAGGGTTCGCCATTGCGCTCTCGAAATTCACACCAAGAAAATCAGATCCCCAAACTTGCGCCCCATACGAAAACACCGGCACAACGAGCGCGTTATAGAGGGACAAGCACAGCTTAAGGGTACAAATTTTCTTATCTCGACACAGGGCACTGAGGCCAAACGTGGCCCGTTTCCCAGCTGCTAGTAGTTGTTTGGTGCAGGCTGAGAGCTGCGTGCCTGGGCCGTAATGTAGCCCGAGTTATTGTGCCGTCTCGTTACCCGTCAGTACCCTCAAACACGCCCCACATAACCGGTACTCGGCTTCCACAAGGCTGCTCCCGTGCTGTGCCCCAAAAAATGAGGACTTCACACTTGGCTGCGTTGGCGCCCATTCCCGTCGCCTTGCAATAGGCCTCAAGGAGTCCGAGTAAGCTTACACCCTGCTCACGGAGGATGTTCCATCGGTCAGGAAGGCGCACACGGCAGTCGGTATCGTGGGCCTGGATGTAGTGAACGAACACCTCAATGAATAATCCGAAAAGGGTGACACTAAGGGGGCACCCTTGCTTTATGCCCCGCCCCACGGAGAATTCAGGCCCCATCTGACTACCCAACTTGACTCGAACTTTTACGTCTGCGTAGCTGGTCTTTTAAGTGGAGGTTTTGCTCGTCACATGGGTTTGGCGATTCACCCGTCGGACAATGTACATCCCAACCTAACGGTCACTTTGGGTGATGGTGGGACTGCGACTTCGGTAGGGTTTGCCGAGGTACCTATTCGCTTGGACATCATACAACCCATCAGCTTGACCACACACACATATACATACACTCGGGGGGGCGGCTGGCAGGCGGCTGGCAGAGGTTAAGGCCTGACTTCTGCTCCCGGCCGACCCGGGTTCAAATCCGCCAGCCGGCTCCTCGGGTGTTTGAGGAGTGTCGAAATGGGAGGTGGCCCCCCATCTTATGGATGGTGTAGGACGTGATAAAATCAACTTGCGAGCTGACCAGGAACAAAGTTGATGCGCCGTTGATCCGCTAGATTTGGTTGGATGCTGGTGGTGAGTTGCCGAACCCAACGAATACATTCTGAAGTCGGATGGGGTGACGGATTAGGGTGCCCCTCTAGCAGGGGAGAGCAGGGACTGCCTCGGGAAAGGGGGCCGCTGGCGAAGTTAACCACCCTGTAACAACATACATACACTCTCTTGCACTTGGATGTGTCGGACCGTCTGTCTTGCAGCCACTCTGTGGACCACTATCAGGCTACCGCAGCTCGGTCGCCATCATGAAGGCAGCTGCTGTTTTCATTTTGTTACTTGGTGTTGGGATGACAGCGCTGTGATTGAGCTGACCTTGAACTTGTTGGAGCAAGGGATGGATGGCAACAAGTGATAGGGAACGGAAATGTGGCGGGTTGGGCTAACGGGCGAGGGTGAACGGGATGGATATAGGGTGGTAGGGAGCTGGGCGGGGCGCGATCTCACTGCTCACAGCAGTGCTGGGTGACGATGACGGTGCTGGTGACAGCGAGGGTGAGGGCGCCACGCTCGTTAGCATCCTTGTCATTGTGTAGGTGGTTGACGATGACCTCGAAAGAAGTAGCAACGGATGGGTACATGCAGGTCAAGAAAAAGAGGAAGTCAGGTGTGGAGGGGGTTCCGCAACGTCGATGTCGATGTCGGGTACTTCAAAAGCTCGGCCCCAGGTCACCGAGGATGGTATTTCAGAGGACGGCGAGGCCAATTGATTGGCGCTGGGGCTGCAGGGATAGTCGATGAGCATTGGAATGGCTCCAGTTCAGATAGCGACATGCTTTGACGCCGGTACTTCTACTTGGGAAGGTGCGTGGGTCGCCTAGGGTATCCAGGCACTCCCACCGGGCGTCGAGCGGCCTAGCAAACTCTTTAAGTATGCTTCCCACTGGCAACCTAACGGTGGCATAATGCGCTATGAGGTCGTCACCACGCAGACCGGCTGGGGGCTCAGCTCCCAAACTCCTTAGGAAAGCTAGGACCTTGCTCCTCGTCCCGCACTCAGCAACACCCCCCCCAGCCAGCTCAAGGTCGGCAATGAAGGCCCGGTGGCGCAGTGTCCCCGGCCTCCTGACAACTGAGTTCTGTTCGTTTGGTGCAGGCTGAGAACTGCGTGCCCGGGCCGTAATGTAGACCGAGATATCGTGCCGTCGCGAGATGTTACCAGTCAGTACCCTCAAACACCTGGCCTCTTGATAGCAGAGTTCCAGAACCTTAGCCCCATTGGATTGGCCCCATGGAACTGGAGCGGCATTGACCCCATGGAGAAGGAAAGCCCAAAAGGCATCGCCAAGTAGCAGCGACATACAGATGAACCAGGTATCCCGCAATCCGATTGTTGAGCAGCAGTTTAGTTTGTATAGAAGCACACACACAGGAAAATGCCGTAAGGGTCCGCCATGCTGCCGTATTGACCGGAACGGAGCCTCCTCTCGAAGTCTCAAACCCAACCAGTAAGGCCCACAGTGCTGTGCGCGGTTTGCGCTCGTCACGGTGCTGCACTTGAGCCGTTCGGGCTCCAGTGTAACTAATGCTGCTCCATGTGCTGACTCTGAGCGCCTTCCTTCCGCACATCATGAGGACCTGGGCCCTACGAGCCAACTTTGTCATTGTCATGTCGGCTGGATGCGGCACGAGTACGGAAACGTTCGGATCAACCCCCCAGCTCTGGATCCTTGGTGGAAGCTGAAGCACTAGGGCGCATGCACGGATGCCATTGGGGCAGCTCGAGAAATCCGAGGGTGATTCACGTGTTGTTCAAATGGTATCCAAACTGAACTTAAACTTGTCGAGCCCTAAAACCCTTCTCCCATCTCCAATACAAAGCCCTCCGGGTGCCCTGCCCGTCAGCTCCGACGCATGTGTGCCCCATGTGGCGCTGCCCCAGTGGAGGAAAGACCTGCACACAAACACACACGTACACACAGACACACGTACTCACACAATTAGGACAGCGTCTCGGGCAGTATCGCAAACCGTTGCCATTGCGCCCTCAACCAACCAATCAACGCCTCTCCAGGCAACATACAACAGGCCGCAGGGAACAACTTCCGCCACCACCGCCATCATCGTCAGGCCAACAGACCCCCCCTTTACCGGCAGTGGGCCAGATGCAGTAAGACGGTACAGGGTACATTTACACACGACCCGACATCGCTTCGCTTCGCTCCCGAATTGCGTGAACTGGTGGACGGACGCTGTCAAAACACCCACGCACGCGCGAGCTGCGGTGGTGCGTCCTCACTCGCCTCTCACACAACGACAAATTCTCCGCCACCTACACACCTACACAAAAAATATACATACATATATACATACAGGAGTACAGCTGCGGTAGAGCGATCCGATGGGCATTCGAGCGGCAGTCCCACACGCGTGCGTGGAAGGGGGAGGTAACGGAGCATTCTGTGTGCCTGCTAAAATGCTGTAGGCGCTATAACACACATACACACAGCTCCCGCCGGTGGCCCGTCCATCCCCCGAGGGACGACCGATCAGCCACCGCCCCCCTGCAGTGGCACAATCCCTGACACGGAGCGGTGCCGGTGCCGGTGCGCCCCCGGCTAGGCTGATGGAGTGGGCCAACCCCCGGTTTGAGGAGGAGAGGCGGCCGCATCCCTACAGCGGCCCTACAGCGCCCCATCACAAGCGCATCGTGGCGCCGAACTAACACACTCTCAGTCAGTGGAGCAGCAGTACCCGGCGGCAACAAGAGGTCGCACAGTAGCTAGCACTCGCTCCCTCTCGTCCTCCCGTAGCGACACGGCCCCGGTTGAGTCTCTCGTCTCGACCCAGCCCGCCGCGTGCACCCCACCCCACCCCACCCTCCACTCCCCCACCGGTTCCCAGGGGGAATCTCAGGGGACCCCAGGGAGGGGGGAGAGGCTAGCTCTCCGGCGTCAGTTGGCGGTTGGGAGTTGTGCGTTGCCTGTTCTGTCCTGGTTTGGCAGCTCACCCAACCGCCACCCCGGTGAGGCAATACCTCCCGCCGCCACTTTGACATGTAGGGTCGCACATGCGACGGACCCGACCAGGCCCTCCAGGCACTATTAGGTCCACTATTGCCAAATGCTGCTCTTAGGAAAATCTGAATGACATGAAGAAAGAATGCCGTACCAATCCACTTCGAATGTACGTGGCTGCCCGAATCGGTTCCACCGTGGCCACCACCACCACCGCCACCACCACAGTGATGACGGCGGTGATGATGATGATGATGACGGCGGCGCACAGGAGTCCTGAAGCCAGCAAGCCAGCAGAAGCTGGCGCCCGTCCACATCACGCAACATCCGAAATTCCAGTTCCTCCAAATAATAACCCTTGATTCGAAAATCTTCTCCTGTGCGTGTGTGTGTGTGTGTGTGCGTGTGTGTGCGTGTGTGTCTCCATGGGGGTGAAAAGTAGGCGGGAGAAAGGGTGGGAGTGGGGGGTTATTCCCGCCATCGCCGCTTCGAGTAGTGGTGTCGGCAATATGCCCTGTACGGAACTCCACCACCACCACCACCACCACCACCACCATCTCAGCCCAGCCCACCCCCTCACCCACCCGGCCTACAGGGACTGACCCCTCCCCGCAACCGCGCACATCGCATCGCCACACCGCACCCGCCACCACCCGCCGCCACCCTGGTTGCCGGGTGGACCCCCCGGGGGCTCCAACTGAGGGCCTTCCACGTCCCTTGCAACCCTTATAACCTTCCCCTGAAGTGAAGGGCAGCGCAGGGCAGGGCAGTTCAGGGCCAGCTAGCGCCCGCCCGCCCTCCACTGCGCCTCGACGGTGATGGAAACCTCCGAGCTCTATCTTGAAGCCACCACGGCACTAACCCCCCCCCCTCCCCAAACGTGAGATACCATAGGAATCCCCAACTAACTAACGAACTAACTAACTCCCCCAAATACAAAACAGCATTTTCCCCTTTCCTCGCATCCAGCACGTTAACACATACTACAGACGTACGTACAGCATACGAGTCGAAAACACCTCCTACCCCCCCTCCCCTCCCCGCACAATATCCACCTTCCTCCCGACCGTACTATCGGTCAGGAAACCGCCACCACTACCCCACACGCCCTGCAGACGAACCTCCTGCCACATCGTACATGCGGCCGTACCGTGCCGTACCGGCCACCTCACTGCAGGACTCAAGTGCTGTAGCTATCACCACTTTACCAATACTTCTAACACTACCAGAGCTGCTACTGCCCCGCCCCCGCCTGCAGCCGTCGCATGTTCCAGTGCAGGCCCTCCCGCACGCCGCTGAACCAGTCTCGTGATGCGTCCTTGGAGCACACCGTCGGTACCGGCCAGGCGCTCATGCGAATGACCACCGCGTCCCCGGCGTTGAGCGCCTGACGGTCCTTGCCGTCGAATGAGCACCACATCTGGGCGCGACTGTTGGCGGGGACCTGCGTTGTTGTTGTTGTTGTTGTTGTGGTGGTGGTGGTGGTGGTGGTGGGATCGATCAATCGATCGATTGATTGAATGATTGGTTGGGTGGCGGGGAGGGGAGGGGAGGGGAGGGGGTCTGTGAGGGCAAGGACGGGCTGTGAGGGCCGCAGGGCATCTCCGGTCCCAGGAGGCGACGCGACATGAGATGGATGGATATGTTGGATATGTTGGATTTGAGAGGTCCATCCATTTGAGGGATCATCGAGTTGTCCTGCCAGCTGATGTGTATGTATGTATGTATGTATGTATGTATGTATGTATGTATGTATGTATGTATGTATGTATGTATGTATGTATGTATGTATGTATGTATGTATGCCTACAGAAACGCACCGCACCGCACCTAGCACCACCTACCCACAACATGTCCCCCCCCACCTGGTAACACCCCCCCGGGCCCCCCAGCGGCACCCCCCCCGGCCCCCCCCCGCCCACCTGGACGCACAGCGACACGTGGTCAGGGAAGATGAGGGGGCGGAATGACAAGCTGTGCGGGCAGATGGGGGTGAACAGGATGCCGGGGACCTGAAGAGACGGGGGAACCCCGGGGGGGGGGGGGAGGGGAACGAGGAGGGCGGCGAGGAGGGAGGGGCAGTGGGGGAATATGTCACATACAACATGTCGCAGCAATATCTTCTCCGAGAGCGAACGGGCGAACGGCCGTGCCGACGTCCATTCGTGCCATTGAATTACCGACTGAGCAGCTGAAGGAGCCAATGTGTTGAGCAGCCGCCGCCGCCGCCGCCACCGCCGCCATGTGACACGAGGACGCCCAGCGGCCCCTATGTGGGCGGTACCACCGACCACCGATATGTTTTTGGCCCTGCCATGCGCCTCTCCCGCATGACAGCCGTCCCCTCAGCGCGTTGACGTCCAGCGCTGTGTCGAAGGGTGTTGCTGCTGCTGCTGCTGCTGTCGTAGACGTGTCGTACTACCGCTGTAGCGAAAAGGAGTTGTGTTGTTGTTACAGAGTGGGAGGCTTCCGGGCCAATGGAACACATTGAGGCTGTGTCGTACCCCTGGCCCCCGGCCCCCCGTCGTCTCGGACTGAAACCTGCCGCTACGTGGGCGCGAGGTGGTGTGCGAAGAGGCGCTCCCGCTACCCCAAGGCAACGTAATACAGGCAGGTGCACAGCCCGGCCGATGGCGGGGCGCGGACCGTCGAAAAATCGTGAAGTCTTCTGGCCCCCCCACCCCACTCCCCTCCGCTTCAGGCTGTAATCCCAACATATTACTCCGACTGCTGCTCGCCAATTCCTCCTCCTCGCCTACCGCCGCCCCCGCCCGCTCCCCGGGAAATCGCCATCCCTATACACACACGTACACACACCCTCCCCCCTCCCCCTCCCCCCTCGTTCGTCTTTCCCCCTCCCCCCCCCACACCTGCGGATGGACCATGGACCCGCCGGCCGCTAGATTGTAGGCGGTGCTCCCCGTGGGGGTGGCCACGATGAGGCCATCACCCTGCGGGGGGGGGGGGGAAACAGTGCAGGGGGAGGGGGGAAGGTGTGAGTGTGTTTTACTAGAGCCGCTAGCATAGAGGCTGCTGGGAAAGGGAAGTGACAAAGAAAGGGGTGTATGTGCGTGTATGCGTGCGTCTATGTGGGGGGTGCTTGTGTGTGTGTGTGTATGTGTTTTGGAGGGACGGGAGAGCGTGAGGAAGAAAGGTGAATGTGTGTCTGTTCAGCACGTGTGGCCCCTTACCGCCTTAACCTTCCTCCCCCCCCCGTTCCCGTTCCCGCTCCCCCACCATACCCCCGGATGGATTACTAGCGGAACCGCACCTTCATCCAACCTTACCCTATCCCCGCATTTCCCCCCCAGCACACACACACACACATACATACACACGCACACCTGCACATGCGTCACGAAGGTTCCATCGCAGTAGCACTCCAGGTTGGTGAGGAAGGAGGAGATGCCCCGGTCGATAACCACCTCGTTCAGAACCACCCACTCGCGAGGGGCAACGGAACCAGCAGCAGCAGCAGCAGCAGGGGGAGGAGGCGGCAGGAGTGCCCCGACGGAGGGCCCCCCAGCACCCTCCTGGCACTGGCCCTGCCCAGGGGGGCCCCGTGCGCAGGCTGCTGCTGCTGCTGCTGGCCCCAGGCCGCCGCACTGCCCCACCTCAGCTGCCCGAACTATGTGGCAGTGCAGCCGGTGTCGCAGCATGATGGGGAAGCCGCCTGCAGGGGCCCGAGTGGCAGGGGGAGGGTGATTGCGGTGGGGGGGGGCGGAGGTTAAGGGAACAACAACTGCCGGCAACGCCCACATACTTGCTAAGAGGGGGAAGGGGGGATGCAGGAGCTTGCAGCGGGTTAGAGGCACGCGGCAGCGTGAGGGGCCCGCAGTAAGTGAGGGGGAAGAGGGAGTGAAGGGGGGGAGGGGGGGGAGGGAGTGAAGGGCGGGAGTACAAGGGGGGAGTGAAGGGGGTGAGGAAGAAAGGGGTGAGGGCAAAAGGGGCCGATGAATTTCCAGCCGCCGTGCCGCTGCATCACGCGAGTGAAGGGGTGGGGGAAGGGAGGCGAGGGATCTCGCCTCCCC